TTAATTTGCAGCGGATGATGTGTAGTTTTGAAGTCAAAAACAAAACAAAAAGTTTGAACACTAACTCTAGTATGTTTTTTTCACGTTATCTCAACAGCTGCTGTAGCCGAATGAATGCGTGTCCGACCGCCATGTTGTTGGTCACGGGTTCGGAACCTGTGACAAGAACTTTATTTTTTATTTTTATATTTTCTTAAATTCTATTTATAATTTCGTAAAGCGACATGCGACACATTACTTTCATATGACATCGTTGTGGAGAAATTCTTGCATCTTTTCGTACATAGGTTATAGGGACTATCCATTACTTTTTGCATTCCCGGACATTACCTTTTCCCACTATGAACATGTACTATATATGTATGTGTGTGTTGTCACCGCACTCCAGTACTGCTGGAGTCATTCGCTACTTTTGAACCGCTACTGCACCAACTCCTAGGTAAGTAGCTACCCTATTAGCTCGTGGTAGCGCACATGGTAATGCAGAATCGATCCAGTCGGAAGCAGAATAGCGAAAAACTAGGAGGGCGCCCATAAATCACGCAAGTGACTACTTTAGTAACTCACGGTAGTGCAGAGAGAGAGCCGATGGTGACTAACGCCTAAGTAGCTGAAATACACTGCAAGTAGTCGGTCGGTAATCGATGGAGTTTACTTGCTAGCTACCGATTCATCAGTCCTGTAGTAACTCCCCCGTACTGCAGGGCGCTCAGCATACTTGGCCCATATAACTATGTACACTTACATATAAATACTCAGATGTGAACATTCAAACATGTGCATGCTAAATTTTGGTATGAAAATATTATTTTTAAATACGAACATTTTTAAACGAAAATCGAATATATAGTATTCATTTTTACTATGCATTATTTGCCTCAGTGTACCCAAGGAAAACTGAAAAAAAATCGGAATAGAAAATTCCGGAAAATTGATTGTCCACAGATTTTATACACAAAATTTTTCTTCTTTAATTTTGATCGTAATTTACAATTAAAATGGTTTCCGAGGTTCAAAATTGTATCAAATCTAAACAATTATGTTAGTTTAGATTATGTTGCAAATTATTACTGGTTCCATTAACAGTTGCCGGATTGGAAAACTGTATGATGAAATTCTGATTAAAACCATAAAATCAGTCTTATTATGGGTTTAATTTTCCTCGAACGGATTCATTTTTCCCTTTTTGTTTCCGTGTATTCACTACGGTCGGATGAAAAAAATTCGGGCTGAGTGAGAATATTTGGAATTTGACTTCGAAGACTGTTTGAATTCTTCAACGTTGTACCTTCAGTGTCCGTAAACCATTCGCCTATCAGAATATGAAACATTGGCTCAGGCAACCGCAATTTACAACGGTTGGCGATTAGTAGTGCACATCAAAATCCTCAGGAACGCGCCCAAGTTAAAGAACAGCTTTAAGTGCTTGCGTCGCAAATTCATGCAGGAACATGATTCAATAATACAAGGTTCGATAAACTGACAGTGGTCTCTCTCGCACCGCTCCCTTAGCAGTGGCACCGTGTTGCTTCTTTGCAAATTTACATGGATACAGTGTAGCTTTGGTGTGAAATGGTGCATATGAAGCATATTTAACTGATGAAAACATAAGCATTGGATGTTTACATCAGTCTCATAGTAGTCTTATTTTAATTTTGAGTCATTTTGCAGTTTTTATACGGCTAAATAGCATATAAATTACGTAATTCACGTAGATATATCAATATTACGTTCAACATTTCGTTTAAAATGCCAGATTTCCTGCAAATACATTAGAATTTACGAAAGGAATTTCACTACTAATTGCCTACTTTGCGTACTTTTCTACTACCATTTTCGAAACAAGGGATTGCATTCTTGCCCTTTCTCTGTCCTTCGTAAATGCAACCTTTTGTAAGGGAGTGTCAAACCGCAGCTGTCAATAATTATCTAACCTTGTATTATTGAATCATGATGCAGGAAGACAGGAACCAGCTCCTTACCAACTTAAATCAAAGCGGAATCCCGATCTGCATCGTAAAGTGAGAAAAGTACCGTGAATGCCCAATTACTTCGACATGCCGCACCATTGAGTGTATCGAAAATGGCAATTGGAAAATATGCCTTCTGACTACCAAAAAACCATAGTCCGAGCAGATAAATGTGCCACTGGAAGTTGGTGAAAGTATTGTACCCAAATGTAAAAAAAAAAATTTATACTTATTTCTAAAAGATATTTTTCGGTTACCAAACGATATCTCCTTTAGTATTTTATCAAATTTAATGAATGATAGGGGGCAGCTCACGTACATGCGAAAAAAGTCACGTTGTTCAAATTTAGTTATTTATTAAAAACAACACATTAAATACCCGTTGCAAATATTAAATATATGATTTTCATCTTTCGGAAAGCTACCGCTACATGGTAAGTAAATTAGCGTCCTTAAATTTCAAAATATTGAAGTTTCAAGCATTTCTCAAATTTACCGTTATATGAAAAGCGGCCGTAATTTTAGTCCGATTTCAATAATTTTGTGGCAAGCACAATAACCATACCGAGTTTGGTACAAATTGGTTTAACGGTTACTGAGATGCATATATGTGATCATAAGTGGGCGGTGTCACGCCCATTTTCCAAAATTTTATCATAAACGTACTTCTTGGTAAAGAATTGTTGCAAGCATCAATTTTGAATAAATTACCTTTAATATTTACTGATTTATCGAAGATTTTGTATTTTTTTGTACCTATGTGGGCGTGGTTATTGTCCGATTTTAAAAAGTTTCGGCCATTTGGTATGCTGTACCAAGGCCAATAACTGTGCCAAGTTTGGAAGAAATTGGTGCAGCGGTTACCAAGATTTACACATGGGTGATATTTACAATAATTTTCAGACGAAAAATAAGAATATTATAAATTTTTGGAAAATGGGCGTGGCCACGCCCACTTATGGTTACATGTGTATATCTTGGTAACCGCTGCACCAATTTCTTCCAAACTTGGCACAGTTGTTGGCCTCCGCATAACATACCAAATGGCCAGTCATATTGCTTACAACTATCTGTCAAAATGTCAGTTGGTAGGCAATCGGTGTTTGCCTGTGGAGTTCTGAGGTAAATAACCATAGGGGTGTTTTCGGAGTCTTGCAAAGCCCTTGCACGGTGCACGGATTGCACAGATTGCATGCTAAAAACCAGTTTTCCTATGGGACAGCATTGCAAACCGTGCAATCCATGCACCGTGTAAGGGCTTTGCAGGACTCCGAGAATTTCCCATGATTATTTAGCTCAGAACTCCACAAGCAAACACCAATTGCACCGATTGATCAGTCCAACCCTTACTAAATCTTTAGAAAAGGTTACAATTTGAGAGATTCCAAATTTTCGCTACAGAATGACTGCAAATAATCCGGAATAATTACGTTCCAAGACATATTGGGCCGCATGAATAAAAAATAAGCAATTGCCTTTTTTTAAATATCAGACATTTTATTCGATTTATTCAAACAAAATTGAAGTAAAAGGTATACAATTTTAAGAAAACGCAATTGCGTAGTTTTTATGCATACAGCCCATTATTGCTAAATTACGAAACACAAAATCTTTAATTGGCTGTACTGAAAAATATGAAATTTTGAATTTCGCCGTCATTGCAGAGGACCATCGATATATACCAAATGGCCGAAAATTTTTAAAATCGACTAATAACCACGCCCACATCCCATATAACGGTAATTTGGAGAAATACGAAAACTGCGATATTTTAGTAACTACTGAAGATAACTCACTCAAAATTGATATTTACAATAATTTTCAGACGAAAAATAATAATATTATAAATTTTTGGAAAACGGGCGTAGCCACGCCCACTTATGGTTACATGTGTATATCTTGGTAACCGCTGCACCATTTTCTTCCAAACTTGGCACAGTTGTTGGCCTTCGTACAATATACCAAATGGCCGAAAATTTTTAAAATCGGACAATAACCACGCCCACATCCCATATAACGCTAATTTGGAGAAATACAAAATCTTCGATAAGTCAGTAAATATTAAAGATAATTTATTCAAAATTGATGCTTGCAACAATTCTTAACCAAGAAATACGTTTGTGATAAATTTTTGGCAAATGGGCGTGGCACCGCCCACTTATGATCACATATATGTATCTCGGTAACCATTCTACCAATTTGTACCAAACACGGTATGGTTATTGTGCTTGCCACATAAAAGCAAAACGTTGAAAATTATTGAATTCGGACTAAAATTGAGACCGCTTTTCATATAACGGTAAATTTCAGAACTGCTTGAAACTTTAAAATTTCGAAATTTAAGACTCTAATTTACTCAAAATTGATACGCCCCGGCTTACCATCTAGCGGAAGGTTTCGGAAAGGTGAAAAAACATATGTTTAATACTTGCGCCGGGTATTTAATGTTCGGCTCCGCCCCAACTTAGACTTTCTTACTTGTTTCTAAATATTAATGATATCTCAATGACTTTAAAATAGCGTTTTGGGCTAATATTGTTGTACGTTTTATTAACAATTATATGCAGAAAATAAATTTGCCGGAACGCATCGAGACGAAAGGTATTCACGCTTTTCTCTTGATGCCCAATGTATTTTGTATGGAAAACGTTTACCGTAGATATTTATTTCGCATGAGTTTTTCAACGCATCGATTGACAGCGAGTCTAGCGTTTTCCATACAAAATACATGGGCGTCAAAAGAAAAACGTTTATAACGTTCGTCTCGATGCATTCCGGCAAATTTTTTTTCTGCAAATAATTGTTAATATGCTATATTTCTCATATCCATGCATTTTTAAAGGAAATCAGTATTTATTTTTTAAAATTTCCCTAAATTCAAGTTAGTATTGTTTCATTAAAAAAAAAAATTGAAATAACCATAAATCATAGAAACTAAGGATGCTGGCTATGTTTGTGGCTTCTTTATATTCTATGTTCTTTGTGATAAGGAAAGTGCTGCCAAGTTTGTACGAAAAATTGTTTTTGGACTAGGGTACATGAAGACTCTTGTTAAATTCATAAAGAAAACACTGAAAATCGGGATTTCGTCGGTACAAATATGAAAAATCGGGACATCTATATTTCCCGAATTTAAAACAATGTTTAGCGGGACAATTTTCTCAAAATCGGTACTGTCCCGCCAAAATCGGTACGAATGGTCTCCGTAATCATAACACTGGTCTACAAATTTCAACTTTTTTTCTGCGAATAAGACGGGACCTGGTGTTTCTGAACGGATTTTTCGTGCTGAACACGAATCCGGGGTCAAAAATGTCCCATCACGTCACGTTTTCGAGAAAAAAGGGGTTGAAACCCCTAAAAACAGCGTTTTTGG